AAAAGTGCCATAACTTTTTCAAAAATGAACATATCAATATAAATCTTTTTTATATAGATGCTTGATGTCTTTACCTATCATTTGGTATACTTTTTTGTAAATTTGACCTTTTTTCTACCCACAGGAGGGGGTTTAAAATGACAACTTTTTCAACTTAACTTTTGAAAATGTTCCGGAAGGTCTGACACTTTTATATATATCTTAAATTGAAGCTAATGCAATGTTCTTTATTATGCAAAAAAAAAATTTCGGACTTTATTTTATCTTCACGGTGAAAATGGCTACCGAATGCTATTTTTGTATGAAAATTTTCGATTTTGTATTTTAAATTTTTAACTTTATTATGCTATAACTTTTTGAAAAATGTATAGATCAGTACAATTTTTTTATGAAGAGTAGTATTCATATACATCTTTCATTTGACATACTGTTTTTTTAAATCGGACCATTTCCCTATATACGAGGGGGGTTCAAATCTAAAAAATGCACGTAAAAAGGAGAACTTTTTTAACTTAAATTTTGAAAGTGTTCCGGAAGGTCTGACACTTTTATATATATCTTAAATTAAAGCTAATGTAATATACTTTAATTTGAAAAAAAAAAATTTGACCTCTGGACTTGTCTTCACGGCGAAAATGGCTACCGAATGCTATTTTCGTGTGAAAATTCTCGATTTTATTATTTATATTATATTTAACTTTATAATGCTATAACTTATTGAAAAGTTTATGGATCCACACAATTTTTTTATGAGAAATAATATTTTTTAATAAACCTTTTTTCATTCGACATACTTTATCTTAATCGAGATATTAATAAGGAACCAGCAGATCAAGTAGCTTTTGGAATAAAACACCAATTTTTTTAAAATTAAACACTATCTAAAGATTTGCATCGAAGCGTTTATTTTTGATAGTGATTTTAATCACTGTCAGATATCATTATACTTGATCCAACTACGCCACGTCACCACTGTGCCGCGACTCCCCTGTGCTGGGTTTTTTTTTTACAATATTAATTTAATATTATTTAAAAAAAAAAGCTCCATATAAATTGTTATAATAATAATATGTCTACAGCAATTCAAATGTATCAGTCAATTTTTAGCACGATAAGGACAATAAGATCCTATACAAATAGAATAATTCATGTTGTAAAACTTACAATTAAATATTACACGATTAATAATACTTGAGCATAGTTATATTTGGAGGAAAAATGTCGTGTTATAATTTTGTTTGAACGACACAACAAATTTTCTGTACATAAAGATACTTAAAAAGTTATCTATTGAATTAATCTCCATAGCTATCCTATTTTATCATAAAATTTAATTTGAGTATTTAAAATTTATTTTTTATGTATTACTTTCAGAAAAGAAACCAAAAATTTTTTTAAGCCACATCATTTTTTAATTTTAAGCCTTCAAAAGTGAAAAAAAAAGTGCTAATGCATTATTTTAAAACAAACATAGTATTATTTTTATTGTTAAAGAAATTAATGATTAACTAACCTTTAAAAATTGTTTTTTTAAATATAAGCTCTAATTTTTAAATATTAAACATACATTTTATGATCACATAAAGAGTGGCTATCTCGTTAATGAGAAATTCTACTTACCAATTTTAATTATACTTTCAAACTTTTTATTTATAGTAATATTTTTAAACAATTTTTAATAAATTTTAACACATAGTACATGCATTTTCTCACGAAATAAAATTTGATAAATTTAATTTTAATTTATCTAGCTCTTATTTCATTCCTAAAAATACATTTATATGAATACTTGAACATTTTTTGGCACACAATATAATTAATCATATACATTCTCCTACAGATGTCGCACATTTGAACTTTTTACTTTAAGTTTACATACTTTAATTTCCTATTTAAATTATAGTTTTTAATCATATAATTTAGATATTTAAGATAAGATATGCCTAACTAAAAATTGTATTGTATTTAATACGTTTTAAATACATAGTTTAATCATTTTAATCTTATATGAATTATTAATTACGATAAAAACTTATTGTTATATTATATATAAAAAATGAAAGTCTAAGTAAGCTTGTAGTATGTGTAAATAAATAGTATATCTTCATAACTATATTAAGTAATTACTTGTACTTACTTTAGTATGTTTGATAATAATATGAATGATTGCGTTTGATCAACTCGATGCGGCGTAGCAATATTCTCGATGAATCAGTCCCTTTCACTTTGCTGTCAAATTTTTTAATCACTTCGGCAGCAAAGCGGAAAAAGACAAACCCACAAGAACATTGTAAAAGTGGTACAATCGAATTAATAGAAATATATTAAGCTATAAAAGTTTTCTTTATAAATTTGAAAGTAAAAAGTTGTCAGATTCTTTCTCAAGCCTTTTAATATCATAAGTCTCCGTGGAAGTTATCGAAATGTTTGTTTACGACTAATATATAAATATCAACTGCCAATACTCGCTACTAATGTTATGTAATCATAGATGATATGAGAAATGAGATAATGTTTTAAATGATACTTCAATAAAAAACATACACCGTCGATTACTTTACTTTTAATTGCGAGTACATCATATTTAGTTGTGTGTTACTACGAAATTATTTGCTTGGGCTATCAATGACTATGGTTTTGAATTAATAATTAAATAAATCTGATAATTTTTATTAGCACACTAATAATTTTTTTAAAAGAAAAATAATAAAATGTCTCCTTTTTTAAAAATGCTTATACAGAAAAATGAAACTTTCGAATTAATTTGACGATAAGGATGCGACTGACTAGTAACGTTGAGCAATATGTAGAAACGCGGTCAACAGATACTAAAATTAATACAAAGGGGTAAAAAAAGAACTACATTTTGTATATATAAATGTGCGTGCGTGTGTGTGCATTATATATATGATGACGCACGAACACTGCTTTATATTTTTCGAATATTTTTAAGCATTTTATTTTGGTCTAGTGATGAGGGGGCGGTGATTCTGGATCGACTTCAAGGTCAGAGATCTAGCACAATACTTAATTTTATATCAGTAATTTGTATTTTATGCACTATTTACATTTTTTGAATAATAGTAATTTTTATTAATTATGTCAGTGGCGGCTTGTGGACAGTGAAGTATAATATTTGAATACAATTTTATTTATATAACTATCTAAAAAAAAAATTGGAATAATTTTAAAACATTATAATTTAAAAAAAAAATGTATACAATTAATGTTGAGACATACTTATTTGACAAAAAATTTTTATAATTATACAAAAAATTGATTTAAATATTATTATTATTTTTACTGGAATAAAATTTCAAAACTATTTGAATCATTACTAAAAAATCATTTATTAATTTTTTTATTTGAATAAATATTTATTAGAATAATGATCTAGATGAAAATTTGGCCAACATATTGTGAGCAATATAAATGGTGAGAATAAAATTTTTGTCGCTTGGTAAGGTGGTTTGTATGCAAAAAAAACTAGGGTAGCTTAGTCCTTGTAAAAAATATATTCATTATTATACCAAATTATAATTTTTAAGGAGAGTTCATTTTTCCTGGGAGTGCCAAATTTTTGTCACCTTTAGGAATTTTATTTTATTTGTGTCTATGTATTATAATCTATTTTATGGAGAGGGGAAATAAAAACTTTAGTCATAAAGGTGTATTTAAAAATTAAATAGCTCATAATTAACTAAAACATAATTTTTTAAATAAAATTTTAAACTCTTTGAAATGGACAAACTGGAGAAAAGGATCATATCATAGAGTAATATTACTCTATGTATCATATATTATGAAACGTATCAAAATTAATGAAGAAACATAATTTATATCGAAATATTTTTGATCAAAATACAGTCCAATTAACTTTGATATAATGGTTTAAATTAGAATTTTGAGGTGATTGGCACGAGATTTCTGTTTAGGTATTTGGCAACGCTGTTGGTTATCTAAAACCTGATAGTGATAATAATTTGTTTGATTACGATTATTGTTTAAACTATTACAAAAACGAAAAACGTTTTTTAAATTGCTATTTGATATTACTATTATTTTTTTTTGTAATAAATAATCATCATGTCTGATGATGAAGATGGCGTTCATAGATTATCTGGATATAATCAAACCGAAGGTGGTCTAATTGTAAGAAAAAAACCAGCTCCAGCTGAACAATTTAAATTTAAAGTACCTGATGTACCTAAAGGTTCATTGTTAGGACTTGATAAATTAGCTGGTAATTTTTTGACGTATTAGATTTAATATCATAATTCGTATATTTTACATTTATTTTTATATTTTATAGCACAAAAGCGATTAGAGCGTCAAGAAATAGAAAAGTCAAAAAAGTCTGTGCTAAAACCTTTTGCAGACTTGGATGATGAAAATCAAGAAATTGAAGAAATGGATCAAAATAATTTACATAAGCATAAAAATAAAAACAGGTAAAATTTAATAGTTTATTTTTAGTACAAGTAAGTACTAAGTATCAATTATAACAATGTTCCATTACAATATATCTTCTTATTCAATATATACAGATTCTAGGTTTAATTAAATTTATTGATGTATTGTTTGCTTTTTAAACTTTAAGTTGCATGTTAATATTTTGAGGCTCATTAGCATATTTGCTGGTGTAACATTATTCAGACTCTTGTTGTAGCTTTAAAAAAAAAAAAATGTTGAATATGTTTTAATTAAAAATTGTTAGTTTATAAGTTATATAATTATACTTTTTAAATTATTATCATATATTATTATGACCTTTATTACTATAATGTTTTAAATATATTTGAGATCTAATGTAAGAATAGATAATTTTTTAATTAATTCACAATTAATTAGATAGACTTTTTCAATTCATGTGTTTAGACAATATCGTTCAGTTCAAGAAGAAACCCCTACTCATACTGGCGGATTATCAAAAGAAGCATTAAAAAAATTAGAAAAATTAAAACAATCACATCATCGAGGTGTACATTACTCGACCTCTAAAGAAAAAAAAGATCATTATTCTAGTAGAAAAAATTGTAAGTTATGATAAATAAATTTATTTATCTAATTCTCTATATAATTTATTCAAAATTAAAAGTATATTTTAAATACATTTTTAATTTTAAGTAATATTCAACATAAGTGATCAATTCTTATTATAGAATTTCTAATTTATCATATAAATTAGATTATATAATTTAGATGTATAATCTTATTTAGCTGATAGAAGTGAAAGAAGAAACCATCGTAATGAACCTTATAAAAAAAAGGAGCGATATAATCATCATGATCATCGATCTAGTAGAACACCTTCAATCAGAAGGAGAGATGAACCTTTAACACCTAATGTTAGAATAAAAGATACACCATCAAGGTATTTAAATGTTTTTTAATACTTACAAATAAAATTTAATAATGTTTTTATTTATTTTAGGATGACATGGGATGAAGATGATCATATGTATTCATATAATTCATCATCTTGGGATATGCCTACACCTAAAAGAAATATAGATGATGATCCTTCTAGAACACCCAGATTTACTCCAGCATATAAATACAATAAATGGGACAGTCATCGTGCTTCTGGTGCTACACCTAGACCAGGAAAAGGTAAAATAATTTTAATTTTATTTCAATATTGTTATAATTTAATTCTTTTTTTTTTTAACTCTAGAAATATGTATAATATTTTTATTAATTTTAGAAAATGATTTGTTATGGGCCAGCGAAACTGATCGTGACGAGTGGGAAGAAGCACAAAACCGATTAGATAGGCAGTGGTACAATTTAGATGAAGGAATTGATGAAACAAATAATCCATTTAGTGATGTCAGTGAATCTTATGCTAAGAAAAAAGAACAACAATTAGCCCAAAGTAAAAAAAAACGTATGTCAGCACAACAAAGACAAATCAATAAAGTAATATTCTTTTATTTTAATATTTACTACTTTTTTTTCATAGCTCTTTTAGCCTGTTCAATGCTATTAATATTTTCTAATAAGAAGATATAATAATGTTTTTTTTATTCTTTTATAGTTAGATAAGTATATGAAGGAAAGTGACTTCTCTTTACTATGCTAATTACTCGTTCAGATTGAGTAATGAATCAGTGATAGAACACTTATAACTCTGTCATTTTATTACCTCAATCATATAATTCCTCTAAATAAATTTGATATTTATATAAATTATTGTTTAAATTTTGATTTAAGGATAATGAACTGTGGGAAAGAAATCGTATGTTGACTAGTGGTGTAGTGGTTTCAGTTGATTTAGATGAAGATTTTGATGAAGATAATGAAGCCAGAGTTCATCTTCTAGTACATAATATAGTGCCTCCTTTTTTGGATGGTCGTATTGTTTTCACTAAACAACCTGAGCCGGTTATACCAGTCAAAGATCCAACATCTGATATGGCTATAGTAGCTCGAAAAGGTTCAATGTTAGTTCGAACATTCCGAGAACAGAAGGAACGCAAACGAGCACAGAAAAAACATTGGGAAGTAGCTGGTACGGCTATCGGTAATATCATGGGCATAAAAAAAAAAGAAGATGATAAAGATGAACGGATTGATGAAGAGGGAGAAACTGATTATAAAACAGACCAACAGTTTGCTGAACATATTAAAAATACCCCAGAAGCTAGCAGTGACTTTGCTAGAAAAAAAACTTATGCTCAACAACGACAATACTTACCAGTTTTTGCTGCTAGACAAGAACTTTTAAATGTTATTAGAGAAAATAATATTGTAATTGTTATTGGAGAAACTGGTAGTGGAAAAACTACTCAACTAACTCAATATCTTCATGAAGAAGGGTACAGTAAAAATGGTATGATAGGTTGCACACAACCTAGAAGAGTTGCTGCTATGTCTGTAGCTAAACGTGTTTCTGATGAAATGAATTCTAAATTGGGTGATGAAGTTGGATATGCTATACGGTTTGAAGATTGTACATCTGAGGTTATTATTAAATAAAAGAAATTATGTAGTGAATATTTTTTTATTAATATATATATATATATAAATTTAGAATTAGTGTTTAACTTTAACACTTTCAAATAAATTCACAATTTTGTTTAAAATAAAAATTAGAATACTCTTAGCTAAAAATAAATTTTTTTGTTGTAAGAACTTACCATAAAAAATGATTCCTTGATAAGTCTTAAGGTTTTATAAGACCAATTATTATATATAGCTCAATCAATAAATTTATAACAAAATATTTATATTTTTAGAAAACTGTGATCAAGTATATGACTGATGGTATTTTACTTCGAGAATCATTAAGAGATCCAGATCTAGATAATTATAGTGCTGTCATTATGGATGAAGCTCATGAAAGATCATTGAACACTGATGTACTTTTTGGACTTCTGCGAGAAGTAAGTATATTTATTTAAAATAATAAGTAAAAAATGTGTTTGATCTTTTACTTGTACAATTTGATTCATAGGTAGTTACAAGGCGTACAGATCTAAAATTAATTGTAACTTCAGCGACTATGGATGCTACTAAGTTTTCACTTTTTTTTGGAAATGTTCCAACATATACTATTCCTGGACGTACTTTTCCTGTTGAAGTTATGTTTAGTAAAAATCCTTGTGAAGATTATGTAGAAGCTGCTGTAAAACAAGCTTTACAAATTCATTTGCAACCTCATGAAGGTATTTAATAAATATGAATTTTATTAGTTTTTTTTACACATTTATATTATTTATTAACAAATTATGATTTCTATAGGTGATATATTAATATTTATGCCTGGTCAAGAAGATATTGAAGTTACATGTGAAACATTAGCTGATAGGTTAAATGAAATAGCTGATGCTCCCCAACTGTTAGTACTTCCTATCTATTCACAGTTACCATCAGATTTGCAAGCAAAAATATTTCAAAAATCTTCAGATGGACTACGAAAATGTGTTGTAGCTACTAACATTGCAGAAACGTCATTAACCGGTAATCGAATAATAAACTTATTTATATCTGTATAAATAATATTAATAAATTCTCTGAGTTTTATCTATCTTCAATCACATTATCTAACAATCTTCTTTGTCACCTTAAACAAAGTAATCCTTTAAAATTAATTTATTTTTTGAAAATACAGTGCTAAATTATAATATAAAATATATTTTACAGCTGACCTTGATGCTCAATAACCTTCTTTTTTTTTCGAACCCTCTGTAATGAAGTTTCACTTAAAAAATAGTTTTGAAATGGATCAAGTATAATGATATCTGACAATGATTAAAATCACTATCATAAAAAACGCTTCGATGCAAATCTTTAGATAGTGTTTTATTTTAAAAAATTGATGGATTATTTCGAAAGCTACATGATCTGCTATTTCCTTATTTATATCCTGATTAAGATAAAGTATGTCGAATGAAAAAGGGATATAAATATTATTTCTCATAAAAAAATTGTGTTGATCCATTTACTTTTCAATAAGTTTTAGTATTATAAAGTTAAAAATGTAAAAAATAAAATCGAGAAATTTCACACAAAAATAGCATTTAGTAGCCATTTTCACTGTGAAGACAAAATAAAGTCCGAAATTTTTTTTTTCCTTAATAAAGTACATTATATTAGCTTTCATTTAAGATATATACAAAAGTGTCAGACTTTCCGCAACACTTTCAAAATTTAAGTTGAAAAAAGTTAAAAAAGTTGCCATTTTGAAACCCTTCCTGTGGGCAGGTAAAGGGACAGATAAAAAAAAAAATATACGAAATGATAGGTAAAAACATCAAGCATCATTTTAATTTAAGGTATATATAAAAGTGACAGTATTTTCGGAACATTTTTAAAAGTTAAGTTGAAAAAGTTGCCATTTTGAAACCCTTCCTGTAGGCTGGTTAGGGATCAAATGTTCACAAAAATATATCAAAAGATAGATAAGGTACTTATAAAAAATATATATATATTGATTCTGTCATTTTTAAAAAAGTTATGGCAGTTTTAAGTAAAAAAAAAATTGAAAAAAATGTTGAAAATTAGCGATTTTTAAATTTGTAATTTTTTCTTTTTAAATCCCCCCCTGTGGGCAGATAAAGGGTCAAATTTACAAAAAAAATATATCAAATGATAGGTGAAGACATCAAAAATCTATAAAAAAAAAATTTATATTGATATGTTCATTTTTGATTAAGTTACGGCACATTTTAGTAAAAAAAATTGAAAAAATTTCGAAAATTAGCGATTTTTAAATTTGTAATTTTTTTGGAGGTTTCCCCCATTTACGGGGAACGAGGAAAATTTTTTCAATTTTCGAGAGTAATGTCTTCGACTAGATACAATTTGTGTTAAATCAATACCTTTTCAGCTTTGCATCGAAGCTAAAATATATTTAAGAATATTATAAATATTATAAAAAAAACTTAGTTTTTCTTGACACGTAAATAGATAAATTCACTGCACTTAAATATTCTTAGTTACATTAATATTTTTATTGAAATTTTTTACACTACCAATAATAATCATTAGGTAATTATTAACTAGTGGTTAATTAATTGGGATTTTAACTTTTATTATTATTTAACAACTAAATCCTTCTCTTTTACTTGATTATTTATTAAACTTTTTACTATATTAAAAAAGAGTTTATAATTTGTTTAACATAGTTGATGGAATACGTTTTGTTGTTGATACTGGTTACTGCAAAATGAAAGTCTATAATCCTCGAATTGGTATGGATGCATTACAAATTTATCCAATCAGTCAAGCTAATGCAAACCAAAGAAGTGGTAGGGCTGGTAGAACAGGTCCTGGACAAGCTTATAGGTATATTTAAAATAAAATGTTATATTAACATTTTAATTTGTTAAAGTGGTTATTGTAGGTATTTTTGACATTTTAAAATTTACTGTTTAATACAGATTATACACAGAGAGACAATATAAAGATGAATTATTAATGGGTACAGTACCTGAAATTCAGAGAACTAATTTAGCAAATACTGTTTTGCTACTTAAGTCTTTAGGTGTTCAAGATTTACTTCAATTTCACTTCATGGACCCTCCACCACAGGTAAAATTTATATTATAAACAATAAAATGAAAACATAATAATACTAGTTTGGTTACTTGTTTTCAGGACAATATTTTAAATTCTTTGTATCAGCTATGGGTACTTGGTGCATTAGATAATACTGGTCAGTTAACATCTTTAGGTCGTCAAATGGCTGAATTTCCTCTTGATCCTCCTCAGTGTAAAATGTTAATAGTATCAGCAGCAATGAAGTGTACTGCTGATGTTCTTATTATTGGTAAAAATATTTGTATTTAAGTCACTTGAAATTGATGGTTATTAGTACTGTTATAATTAAAGTAAATATTCATTTATAGTATCTATGCTATCAGTTCCTTCAATTTTTTATCGACCTAAAGGTCGTGAAGAGGATTCTGATAGTGTTCGTGAAAAATTCCAAGTACCTGAATCAGATCATTTAACAATGCTCAATGTATACAATCAGTGGAAACAAAATAAGTAAATAATTTATATCTTTTATAACAAAAAATAAGAATTGTATATATTTTTGATAAAATCATATATAGTTATTCAGCATCATGGTGTAATGAACACTTTATTCATATCAAAGCAATGCGAAAAGTTCGTGAAGTGAGACAGCAACTCAAAGATATCATGGTACAACAAAAAATAGAAATTATATCTTGTGGAACTGACTGGGATATTATACGAAAGTGTATATGTTCAGGTATTTTAATAGATTTTTATATCAATATTGACATTAAAACTTAAAATTATATTTCAGCCTATTTTCACCAAGCAGCTCGATTAAAAGGTATTGGTGAATATGTTAATTGTCGTACTGGTATGCCTTGTCATTTACATCCAACATCAGCCTTATTTGGAATGGGTTTTACTCCTGATTATGTTGTTTATCATGAACTTATCATGACGTCAAAAGTATATTCTTCATTAAATTATTTGAATAATTAAATCATAGCGATTCTTTATATATTTTTAATGCTTTATTTATAGGAATATATGCAAACTGTAACTGCTGTTGATGGACATTGGTTAGCTGAATTGGGCCCTATGTTTTTCACTGTGAAAGAAACTGGCAAAGCTGGTTCAGCAAAACGACAAACTCTAGAAACATTGCAGGAAATGGAAGGTTCTATGAGAATAGCACAAGAAGAAATGAAAGCACGAAAGCTTGAAGAAGAGCGTAAGCAATTAGCAAGTATAAGAAGGTAAGCATTATATTTTTTATATTTTTGTATGAGAATTTTACTATAAAAAAAAAATTATAGGGTTGAAATAATTACTCCTGGTAAAAGAGAACCGGGAACTCCTTCAATACGACGTAAACAAGGAAATCTTGGATTGTAAGATGCTTTCAGTAATGATCTCATTCAAATATTTGGAATTGAATTGTTAATGATTGATATAAATAATACAATATTAATACTTAAATTTATTTTATTTTTTTAATTTATGTAATTATGTACAAAATTATATGATCATTTTTATAAATTAAATTTTTTGTTTTTATAACATAAATATTTACCTTGATTTATGACCCAGGGAATTTAAGTCAATTATTTACATATTTATAATTCAGTTTATATGTAAATATAGTTAAAACTGTTACTTAATTATAATAAATATAAGCTTATTAGTATCAATGAATACAGATAAAAATATTTACTAAAAAAATAATTAGATATAATTTAACATAAAAAAATAAATTATGGAATATTTATTGTTTAACATTTTACGTTAAAATTAAAACAGACTAAGTATTATATAAAAAAAATTCAATGAGTCAACTTTACATGTAATTTTTAAAAATGATCTTTTTGTTAGAAAAAACAAATAAATGTATGATATAGTTCTATATACTAAAAACAAAACATAAAAGAATAAATGTTTTTAATTAATGTATATTGAAAACCATTGTTAAATTGCTATCACAGTACAGTATATAATAACAATCCTATGATTATTGGTGTACATTTGATACAAATTTTTCCTTATATAACTAACATACTAAAAACTAAATAAGTATTTGTGAACCATGATACAATAAAATTAATTGAAAAAAATTTGCACTAAATTCACTATATTTGTAACACAAAATAGAATACCTAAATTAATAACTGTTAAAATATTGGTGTCCAATTATGTAAGGTAACAGTCAATTAAAATCAAATAACAAGTTAGAAATGTACTGAATAAGACTAACAATAAAATGTCATTATGTATCAGCATGAACAACACTATGTTTTTTTAAATATTCTTGGTTCAAAAATGATTTACCGCATTGGTGACAGACAGCTGATGAAAAATTCATACGATCATGAGTAGCATAATGTCGTCTAAGAGATGCCAATTTTAAAAATGACTTGTTACACACAGTGCATTCAAATGGTTTCACACCTGAATGTATCATCACATGATTCTTAAGATGTGATGAGCTTTTAAATCTCTTTAGGCAAATATCACACCTATGTGGCCTGGATTCTGTATGTGATGCTTTATGTGCAAGCAAAAAAGATTCTTGAATAAAAGTTTTATTACATATGTCACATTTATGAATAGATCTATGATTCGAATGCATAACAGCATGTTCTTGTAAATGTAAAGCATGGTTAAAGGAAGCACCACATTCTTTACAAGAATATTTTGGTTCAACTGTTCCTGTATTGTTTGAATTGCAGTTTCCAGAAATGATATGTTCATTAAGTTGTTCATATGAATAAAATGATGAACCACATGACTGGCATTGATGCTGTAATGTAATTTTCTGATCATCTTTAGAATGAGTTAAAGAATGTTTCTTTAAATTAGAGGAGTCTGCAAATGCTAAGCCACAAACATCACAAGCAAATGGACGACATCCTGTGTGAGTTAACATGTGACGTTTTACATCAGATGGTCTTGTAAATCCTTTATTACAAATACGACAAGGAAATGGTTTACGACCAGTATGTGTTATCATATGAGCTTTTAAATTACTTTGATTTGTGAAGGTTGCTTCACATTTAGAACAAGAAAATGGTTTTTCCCTTGAATGTACTAACTTATGTCTTTGTAGTTCTGATGGTTTACTAAATGCTTTATCACATGATGAACAAGGATAAGGCAATCCTCCATTATGTATCATTGAATGAACTTTTAAATTGTAATTAGTAATAAATGACATAGAACACACTTGACACACAAATGGACGTTCTCCAGTATGAATCATCATATGACGTTCTAAATCAGAAGGTCGCCGAAAAGATTTATCACACATAGTACATTGGTGAGACTTTGTTTTAGGATTTGATAACAGATGAGAACACAAATTAGCACTAGAATAGCTGAAAGTTATGTTACAAATTTTACAATGCATATCATTAGAATGAACATTTGAATGCCGTTGTAGACAAGAAGGCTTAAGAAAACTCTTATCACATTCAGAACACGTATAAACAGCACCACCAGTATGTTTCATAACATGAAGTTTTAAGTCGCTTTTATTTGCAACAGTAATTCCACATTGATCACAAATAAATGGAGGATTTTCTGTATGGATATTCATATGACGAAATAATCTATAGCTAGAAGGAAACTTTTTATCACACCTATAAAAAATAAAGTTTATTAAAAATTTTTATTGATATTTAAATAAAGAAAAAAATTACTTTTGACAGCAGTACAATTTTTGACTTCCATGACTTAATGCGTGCTCTTTTAAAGATAATTCATTAGAAAAAACTAAATCACAAATTTCACAATGGTGTAACTTGAGATCACGATGAACAACCAAATGTGCACTTAAGGCATTAGATTTATCAAATTTTTCACCACATACCGTACACAAATATTTGCATTCTACTAATGATTCCTCTTCATGGGTTAACTCATGAGATTTTAAATTATTAATATCAGCAAAATGTTTACCACATTTCTGACATTGTAGCTCATTTAATGGATCTGGTTGCATGAGACTTTGACAGTTAGCAACAGCTTCATTAGCCATATTGATTTCAATAGTATTTTTATCATTTGAAATATAAATTTCTGTTGCTTGTTCAGAGTGGTTGGATAAGTCCACATTCTCAATTTTTAAATTATTTATCTGGATTTGTCCAGATACATTAATTGATTCTTGAGCATTTATTAGTTTTGCTAAACTTTCAACAGTTAAAGCACTCACATCTTCTTGGTCCAATAATAAATGAGCCAAATCCTGAAAAAAAAAAAATTATAGTACATAAAAAAATTGTTCTATCAAAAATGCTTACTCCATTTAAACCTTGAACAAATATACCATAACCAATATTTTCGTGTATTCTAAAAAATAAAAAAGTATAAATATGTAAAAAAAATTTTTTAATCTATTTACAAAGCTATTAAAAAAAAATTACCTTCGATCATCACTATTTTCTATAATATTTGCTCCTTGTACTGTTACTAATCGTTTTTCACCTGATTTTTCAGTTACTACAATTTCAACGCCGGCATTCATACCTTAAAAACAAAAGAAAAAATAATATTTCTGTTATAAATAATAAAACATGATAAACAAAAGTATTAATAATTTTATAACCCTTATACCAGAAGGTTATAAAAGATTTTAACTATAAATTAAAATAAAAAATTTAGTATCTTATGAACAGAATTTTAACAAAGTTTATGAACAATATTAAATTAACTTTCTATTCCCTAAAACTTTTTGAACACAACAATACAAATAATTATTGCGTAATGTTAAAAGATTATTAAATATTTTACAATAGTTTTTTCTATAAATTAGTTATTGAATAAATTATTAAAATTATTATTATTATTTTATATATAATTAAATAATTAATTGTTTAGAGTTGAGTTTTATAACTTATGTAGTATACACTATAATACGAGGGTCTAAAATTAAAGAAGTGGATCAACCAAGTTGAGGTTTCTTAATTAATAGTTTACTTCAACCAATATATGAAAAAAAATTTAATGTGAAAAATGTACCATTAATTTTATCAAAAGGCAAATTTTTTAAGAAAAAATACAATTTTTCATTAGTTTCAATGAAAAATGAAAATTTTGCTTTCTTGTAAAGTAAGGAATTGGTTAATACGTCTCCAATCAGAGACTTTCAAATATAAAATACTATAAGTTTCTAGTCTTTAATATATGTGCATTATATGATAAAAAGGGTAGAAATAAATAAAAAAAAAATTATTCATATAAGTTTCATTATGTATATATTTTAATTTTTTTAAATATATATATATATATATATATATATATCATTCTTTAAATCTAATTTAAAAGTGTTTAAATAATAACTAGGGGTTCGTAGACAAAGTATTCACCATTTATACATGTAAGTAGTTACTTACTTGCGATAGATGGCTGATTGTTATAAATTTTTCAATTAAAAACTTTGATTATTCGCATAAAATCTACAGATTTATAAGTGTATCCAAAATTATTAAGTTATGCTCCTATGTAAACAAATAGATCACGTCGTAAAAACTTACAAGAATACTTGATAAAACTAATTTATCCTATATCCGTACAAAAAATATATCTAAGGATAAAAATAAAAAATCGTATGTATAATGTTACAACAACTTAGTGCTCTAAGTCATTTATTTAATGATTATTCGATCATTTAAGCAGATAAATGTTGAAGAGTGATAGTAAATTTACTATGAAAAATTAGGCAGTAAGGTAGAAATGAGATAGTACAAAAAATAATATTTATTGACACACCACTACTTAATACAAATATTTTATTTGATTTTACAAAATCACTTAAGTGTTTACGATATGGTTATTGCTTTTAACCTGCACAGTGTAGACAGAGACCAAATAAAATTTTGTTGACGGCTAATTTTTCTGTTGGCAATACTATTCCTAACTTCACGTTCAAGGGCAGATCAAATTTATCTAGTGTTGTAAAGGAATATATCTTGGTCATTTCTATAATATCATTAATTACTTATGAGTGCTAACATCGACTAAAGCTTGTTAGATTTTTTACTTAAGCTGATAATAAAATATTTTTTATATTCACAACTGATTACTTACACATTTTGCTTATCAAAGAATAAATATTTTATATATTTTAATTTTTTT